TGCGTTAAGTTATTAACCAACGGCTATTAACACGCATCGTTTTATTGTTATTATTATTATTATTATTATTATTATTATTATTATCGTTATTATTATTATTGTAATCCCATTTTTTATAGCTCAAATAATCTTCACCCAAATTTTCATTTCAAGCATGTTAAGCATGAAGGCAGATTTTTTTAAAAAAAATTATTACATGTATTTCCCGACCAGATGCTGCCGCCTTCTTTTTGATTTATCTTTCAGCTTATCATTACCCGGGGGATTCTTCCTAGTCTTGGTAACCTTCGGCGCACGACGATCCCATCCAATTCGGTATCGAACCAACATCACGTTGATTCTGGTGGGAGAGTAGTGTAGTGGCATTGAACAATAACCGCACAATCCACAAAGCTGAACACGAGACTACTCAGAAAATAGATATTCAATATTTAACGCGGATAAATACCTAACGATGGAGAAGGCGCGAACAAGGAATTAAATGGACTGGAGTTGATCGAGTGGCATGGCTCAGCCATGCAGGCGTGGTCTCTGCCGAATGTTACCTTATATCATCTATTCATATTAAATATATTGTTCTTTCTCTAGCCTAACCTTGTTCTACATCATGTATTGGTAATTGATACGATACAGTGAGTTGGTGTAGTCGATGGTGTGACTTCCACATAAGATCTTATAGATTAGGCAGTTATATCATGACGAATCTACAACTTTGGGATTAGGTCTATTATTAGAGCAGTACTAATATAATGGTAGACCATAATTCTACAGTAGGCCCTGTCCTTTACACGTTTTTTTATCATTTAGACAGTCCACAAGTGAAATGGTCAGCTCCAACTTGCCTTTGTGCTTGGTCCTAACTTCGTATGGCCTATCCGGGTGCATGTGGATTCCAGGTGGCAATCGACGTCTGTTGGCACGAAATGCTTCCAGAACTGCAGCCGCCATGTGGGAAGATGGGAAGGTTAACTTCATTAGACAGGGTCTATGATCACCGTCCTTCTTGGCTAGTCTCGTCACATGCTGAATCAGTGTGTGTTTGAGCCTCAAGGACTGTTTGATGAATTTCCATTCCCTGATGTCAGAATTTGATTGAGTAGGGTCTGCATTTTCCGGTATACCTTGCACAATTATGTTTCTTCCGCGGAAGAACTTCTCGCGAGATTCTTTAGGGATGTTCCGTATGATATTGCGCTCAGAGTACGGTATGTCGGGCAATATTCTTACGTTACCATCTGATTTCAGCAAGTGACTTGCTAGCAAGACGTCCTCTACGTCGGTAGCATTCATAAGTGTTACTCGGAGAAGCCTCGGGTGATTTAGATGCTTAGAATCTTTTCCTCGAGTGAGCCGGGTGACCGATCTGTGTGTTCTACTTCGATATCCCGTGGTTTTGGTGGGGCCGGTCTATCCAAGAGCTCTTCAAATTGTCCTACTTGTCCGTTCTATTGTTCTTCAATCTCAGTGATTGGCTTGCCTTCCATGCCGTTTACCGGTTGCTCTGGTTTATTATATGTTACCTTCCAGCCCCTTACTTACTTACCTAAGTAAGTAGTATGTCCCCCACCGTTCCGTTGTGTCATATATTTATCTTATATTTCCTTCTTTCGCAACTTTTTCCGTTGTTGTCTCTAGCTTTTCCATGTGTTTCCGCTTGCCGGCCCTAATGCTCTTCTTCACTTGCTTGTTTGCTCCTGTATATTCACCTTATGTCTTGGTTATCTCTGTTTTTGTTCGGCTATTGTTGTGTCATCTATTTGTTCTTCCTGTCTTGAATCATGTCCAGGGTTTCGATGGAGATCCATATCTTATGATGATGCCCGGAAACTAGTGCTTACTTGGTCCCTTTCCACTCGTTCCTCATAGAATTCTCATCTTCTTTGACTAGACCTTGTAAGACTTAAAACCTGTTGTTGAGAGTTATCTTGAATAGATTGAATTCGTCAGTATTTCAGAGGAAAACTGCATCGAACCTCTGTGATGCTGTTTATCCTGTTGTCAAATGCTTCTTTAACTTCAGTTTCATCTTGGCCACAACCAGTTGATGTGAGCTATGTCAGGTCCTCCCCCGGTTCTCATGTCTTACAATGAGGCCAAGCCTCCTGAAGGTCAATGTAACAGTGGCCTACGTTTCGGACTACTTTTCACCCTTTCTGAAAAGGCTTCTGACCATTATTATAACTGCTAAACCACCGAAAGCCAGTTTAACTCGGAAAGTTGGTTCTTTTTGTACTGGAGGATCATGACGTATGTCATGCGTATATGCGTATGATTATGCACGGATATTGACGTCCAGGATTATTTTTGCACTACATATATAACAAGGATAATTTAATTACGATTACAACCTCGAGTGTTTACTGCGATTTGAAGTCTTACGCTAACTGTGACAAAAATGTCTTTCGATCAAACCTTGCACTGGTAAAATTGAAGCGCAATTTTGGACATTGTATTTTCTCCCTCACCCAAAAGGGATAAGCAAACTGGAACGTATCCAACGGCAAGCCACGAATCCAAATCCGAGACTCAAATTCAAGCCTTTGAAGAGCGCCTCCAATCACTAAACCTTTACTCGTTAGAGTACAGGCGTCTTAGATGTGATCTTTTAATTGCGTACAACATCCTTAACACTTCTGCACATCCCTTTAAACACCTACTTAAATTCAGCTTCAACACAAACCTAAAGGATATGACTCAGAAACCAGAGACAAAACTCAGCAGAACGGACTATAGACACAATTCCTACTCCTTAGGAGTGGTCGAGTGCTGGTCCAAGCGACTTCCCAGGAGTCTTTCAAGAGGAAACCTGACATATACTTAAGGACTGAGGGTAGTATTTTACTATGACTTATCAATTTCTTTCTCCTCTTTTATCGTTAATATACTTAGGTTCTTACCTAGAGGCATTGGTAATCCACCGGCACTAGACACGGAGGCCCGTCAAGCGAAGGCTTCTTCTAATCCTTCTACAAACATTTGGACCATTCCAGGCCAAGAGATATCCGAAGTAAAAACGTGTGAAAAAGCACTACGCCAACCTAAATAGTGTTAAAAGCTTTTTGTATGAATTAGAGTCTATCACCCGGTACGACGAACTCAAGAGAAATTTAATGTATCAACACATGGAAACCACATGCTTTCATCAAACTGTGAGCTTGAGGTGATTTCGTAGTTCGTCCATAAAATGTAGTCTCATTACGAAATTCTTTAAAGATGCTTGATAGTAGTGAATTTCTGCTAAACCTCTAAGCATAGGGTTGAAATAAACTTCCAAAATTAATAATTACCAATACTGGAAGTTTAAGTTGGTATCTCAATTTTTTTAGCGGCAATACTACATCTACGTTACCTAGAAGTTTGTGACGGTTTTTGATGATGTGTATATTATGCTCACATTGTAAAACTTAGATTTTTGACCTTTTCGGAGCTTTTAAATGAATTTCATACTAGTAGGTATACCCACCTAGAGTTAATTAAGCTGTGAAAGTATTCAGGGATACTCGATTATGTGTATACTAATATATTCGTATAAATTCTATCGTCTGGCTACATGGACCCACAGCAGTTAGTAAAATTAACGTTTAAAATTTGTTTTTGCACACAGATTTCACTTAAACATTTGATGAACACAAAGGTAGACATACCCAATCTCCCTATTTGAGTGGGGGCGGGAGATTTTTCATTTTGCGGAAATGATATCAAACCCCCATAAATCACGACTCGGTGAGCGTAGAACAATCAGGAATTCTATAAACCTAAACCCACCTACGGCCTTGACTAATTTCATCTACTCAGAGTAATAAAAAAGAACAGAGTGATTGCCATACTTCGTGCCACTCAAGTTAACTATACAAGTTGCTTTCCTAAACTGTATTTTTCAGTAGTAGGTTCGGGACAGTCAGTCATCATTCAGGGAGAATCACAACTCAGTAAGGTAGGACATTTGAACCAAGATTCAAGATCGGTCATTTCTTGAATACCTCTCTACGTCCAATCAGCTGGGTCCTATGATGACTTAATAACACAACGTTGTCCAACTTTAGTGTATAAATGCATAACAACAAGGTGATTAACTTATTAGGCACTATTGTGGAAATAGACCTGACAAGCTTATTTTGCAAATAGTTTTTAATATTATTTGTATTTATTTTGTCAACCTTTCACTTTATGTATATTTATCATTAAATGACTGTACCTGTTGTTTTAGTGAATGACCTTGAACACATTTTCCGTTGTGTTGCTGACATAGTGTGACATACTGTTGCATGCTAACAAATACATTGCTATACACACATACCTTGTTCTACCTTCGCTTGTGATTGAGCTAACTGCATTCCAAATCAAACATTATCTGCATTTATAGGCTGTGGGTCGGAATATATCATACATAACATTGGTTTACATTACTGGAGTCCAACCTGAGCGGAATCAACGAACATTTATAATTGTGGATTTTCAGTATCAGGCCCAATCCGAACAAGCATCAACTTAATGAACTTAGGTAAAGTCCCAATTTTCTGTTGTATTTGTAACAATAAACCTTATTATTTACTCTTAATAGCTTGGTTAATACTTTTTAACGTTCATTTTTGTCTTGTCCACCACACTACCGACTTTCAGTATCAATGTAATACAACACGTTGGATCTGTACGGAATTTCACTTCGTGGAAAAAATTAGAAAGACCCTTTAAGACTTCATTTATCCTCACACTTTGCACCGCTGCTCCCTTCCCAGGTCCCGGTATATTGACTTGTTTGATAGGTGCTACTCTAGACTTACTATACAACAAAACAGTGTGGCGTGTTCTGCAAATAAGTAACCCATGCGCAAGCAGCTTCTCCATAACTGATCTCCGAATCATCACTGAATCGATTTAAATTTACCTTCGCGTCGAGTTCGTCAATTCTCTTCTTGATTTCCGAGACACGAAGTCTCAGCACGGATACAGAAGGCTCGACTAGCTTTTACCAACTCGCGTCATTTGTGGCGTAGACGAGATATCCGTCTATCAACCAAAGGACGGGTTTACTGTATGTTACCACTGAATATGAGTACTGAAGCAGTTTTTCTGAAACCGCGCGCGCCATTCAAACTGGCTGCCTTCAACGTTCGCACACTTATGCGGGTTGGACAACAGATAGGGCTGGCTATGTCTTTGGAAAGTCTTAATATCGGTGTTTGCTGTCTATCCGAGACCCGTATTCAAGACTCTGGTGAAGTACTACAAATTCGCTCTCCATCTGTCGCTTCGAAAAGCTTGTTTTACGTGCGCTTATCCGGGGACCCTGTGGCATCTTCGTCTGGTCTTGTTGGCGTTGGTGTCGCACTGAGCGCTAGAGCTGAGGCAGCACTAATCTATTGGATCCCCATTAACAGTCGGTTATGTGCTGTTAGATTAGAGAGTTCCATCAAAGTGAGAAGAAATCGGCGTGAGAAACGATGTCTTTTCGTCATCTCCGCCTATGCCCCGACAGATTGCAGCCTGGATGCAATCAAGGATGAGTTTTACCACCAGTTATCTGTTCTTCTCCAGAAAGTGCGTTCGACAGATATTGTAGTACTAGCCGGAGACTTGAATGCTCAGGTCGGGCGTCTAGGCACAGAAGAGAGTCGTTTAGGTGGCCAATGGGGACTCGTTGGTCGTAGGTCAGATAACGGGGACCGTCTACTGCAACTGTGCACAGACCACAACCTGTTCCTGGCCAGCACTAACTTTCGGCACAGTCATCGCCGATGTGCCACCTGATGTCCCCCTTCTGCATCTCAAGCCTGGACTCAGATTGATCACATCGCGATCAGCTTCCGCTGGCGTGGTTGTGTACAAGACTGCCGCTCCTTTTGGAGTACCTATCAGGACTCTGACCATGCCCTGGTCTGCACCAATCTTGCCTTACTTTTCAGTGGCCAGTGAAGTGACCGCCACCAACGATTGATGTTAGCAAGCTGGTTGCAACTTCTATTGCAAGTAAGTATCGAACCGAGCTAGCTTCTAGGCTAGCTACCATTCCACCGAAAAGTATGGATGAGCATTGGTTGCAATCGCATGACACCATGAAAATAGCGAGTAAAGCCGCTTGCGGCTTCGCGAAACGTTCCATTCATAAGCACTGGGTTTCTTCTGGCTCCTTACAACTCATCGAAGCCCGTCGGCCTACTCCGGGTCACCGTGAGTTTGACCACAAACGAAGGATGTTACGTAAGGAAATTGGGCAAAGCTTGCGTAAGGACCGAGAAGCCTGGTGGTCGAAGCGTGCTAATGAGTTGGAAGCAGCAGCTGCATCTGGTAATTACCTGAAGCTCTTCCAACTCATCCGAGCCACTGGCAGGAAGAAGTCTGGTGTGAGTGAAACAATCTGCGAGGATGACGGAACGTCAATCACTTACATCTATCGACGTCTTGGACGATGGGCAGAATTTTTTTGAAGGGCAGTTCAACTGGCCTGCTGCTCCGGCATCATCGGTCATACTGTCCTTCCCTCCATGACCGGTGACGACTGATCCACCAAATGAGGCGGAAGTCCGCAAGGAACTCCAACTCTTGAAGCGTTACAAATCACGTGGCCCAGATGACTATTTTTAATGATGGTGGTGACTTTTTGACTAAGGAATTGACGACGTTGTTTACAAAGGTTTGGGAACTAGAGAGTGTACCAACGTCATGGAATGAGTCGATAGTTGTCCCTATCTTTAAAAAGGGTTCACGTTGTTCCTGTAACAACTATCGGGGGATAAGTCTACTTCCGATTGCGTCCAAACTATTGGCTTCCGTCATACTTCGTAGGTTGTTCAAAACCCGATAAAGATTGACTCACGAGGAGCAGGCTGGTTTTCGTTCTGGTTGAGGATGTATTGATCATATCTTCACCCTCATCCAAATGTCAGAACACCGTCATACTTAGTGTTTCTTTACATTAGGGCTGCCTTCGATTCATTGGATAGGACTGTTCTCTGAGATTGTCTATTGAAGAAGGGTGTGCCTGAGAAGTTTATTAACACCCTAAAAGCCTTATATACAAACACTTCAGGCGGAGTGAGGACATAAAACCACCTTTCTCCATTGTTCCATTCGAGCAGTGGGGTTAGGCAGGGTTGCCCAATCCCACCATTCCTCTTCTACTTTGCCATCGACGACATTCTGGAAACAGCTCTGATGGATGTAAGTAAAGGTGGTGTGGATCTGTTGCCTGGAGTATGCGGATGATATTGTCTTACTGTGCGATAAGGCCAAGGCATGCAATCCGCACTTAATCAGTTGGCAATCAGTGTCCGTAGGTATGGTATGTGCTTTGCACCTTCCAAGTGCAAACTGCTTCTAGAAGACTGGCAGGATTCTAATCCTGTACTCACCCTGGATGGTGAGCAGATAGACGTAGTCGAGAAGTTCGTGTATCTGGGTAGCTGCATAAGTGCTGGTGGGGGTGTGGGTGATGAGATCAATGCACGAATAGTGAAAGCCAGAGCGGCTCATGCTAATTTGGGCCACCTTTGGTGAGAGCAGTTTTGCTCTATGCTTGTGAAACCTGGTCTCTCCTAGTTGAGGACGTTAGACGACTCTCTGTGTTCGATCATCGTTGTCTCCGAAGGATTGCTGAAATTCAGTGGCAACACCATGTTAGTAATGCAGAGGTTCGGCACGCGTGTTCGGGCACAGAGACGATAATGCAATCGGTGTCACCATCTTGAAACACCGACTTCGGTGGCTTGGACATGTTCTCCGAATGTCGTCCCAGAGAATTCCACGTCGTGCATTATTTGCCGACTCTGGGACTGGTTGGAAAAAGCGGAGAGGTGGTCAATGTATGAAATGGTGTCGTGGTATGAAAGAACGCTGCAAAGGACTGGCTTCTGTTGGTCGTTCACGACTCCCTGGTTGGGGTCTGAGAGATGGTGCTACACAGTGGCTAGAGACGTTGTCAGATATGGCTCAGAATAGAAGCCAGTGGCGATCCCGCTGTAAAATTCTTTTACTTCATAAAAAGTGGTTGTGTATCCATTACCTGAAAGATTTCTTCCGATTGTACTTTTCCGTTCCCTCATTTCTACCATACTGCCTTACTCCATTCTCTTCGTTATTGTTCTCTTTTTTTGCGCTCCTTAGCTTTTTTTTCTATTTCTCTTCGGATTCTCATTGTTTTGTGTGGCGCATATATATTGGCGCCCTCTTGTACCAATATTCATGTGTTCAAATAATAATAATAATACTGCGCAGCAGTTCGTTCCGTCCTACTTTATGGCAGTGAAACATGGCCGATAACAGTAGAGGATATTCGTAGGTTACTAGTATTTGATCATAGGTGTCTTCGAAATATCGCTCGTACATCCTGTGATCACCGAGTAAGTAACGCAGTTGTTAGGAAACGGGTACTAAATAAGGATGGCAAATCAATTGATGACGTAGTGAAACTTCATCAGTTGAGATGGCTGGGACACGTGCTACGTATGTCCAACGACCGACTGCCTCGACGTGCTATGTTCAGTGGTATAGGAGTAGGTTGGAAGAAAGCTAGGGGCGGCCAGACCAAAACATAGCACAAGTCCATGAAGTCACTGACAAGTGGTCTGAGTCATGTCGGTAGGTGTAGACTACCCGGTTGGGGACCGCGAGATGATAGCAACCGATGGTTAGAGACGCTGAATGACATGGCTCAAAATCGTTTGCAATGGCGCAGGTGCATCTACTCTTTGTGTTCTCCCAAATTTTGATCTCCTTATTCCTCGTCTCTTTTTCTCTTCCCAAACTTATTTCACTGTATTATTATACTATAGGGAACACAAGACAGCTTTACAGACTAATAAAAGAAACTGGAATTAATAAGTCAAGTGTAAGTGAGATTATTTCGGAAAAAGATGATACTCTCATCTGCTCCCAGTCCAGACGTTTAGAACGATGGGCGGAACATTTTAGAGAACAGTTCAGCTGGCCTTCAGCTACTCTACAACTACCCTCCATTTCCAGACAATGTGAATGGAACATTGAAGTAGGTCCTCCAACTCTTGCTGAAGTTCAAAAGGCTATAGTTAATCTGAAACGAGGAAGGGCAGCTGGTCCAGATGGATTGGCTCCAGAGGTCTTTAAGGATGGTGGTCCAATTTTATCGATTAGGTTGACTAATATTTTAGCTAAGATCTGGGAATTAGACTTTATCCCATCTGACTAGTCGCAATCACTTATCGTCCCAATATATAAGAAAGGGTCAAAATCATCCTGTGATAACCACAGAGGGATTAGTTTAACAAACATAGTATCTAAAATACTGGCCTCGATAATTATCAGACGTCTAACTAAGACTCGTGAACTACAAACTCGAGAGAACCAAGCTGGCTTTAGACCTGGTCGTGGCTGCATCGACCACATATTCACCATTCGTCAGGTTCTAGAACGCAAGCATACCTATCGGCGTCCGACGATGGTGGTCTTTCTTGACTTAAAAGCAGCGTTTGACTCTGTAGACCGCGAGACTCTGTGGCAGTGTCTGTCATTGAAAGGCGTACCTCAGAAGTACATAAACCTTGTGAAGGCTCTTTACTCGAACACTACTAGTCGAGTCAGAGCTTATGGCGAACTGTCATCTACTTTTGCAACTTCAAGTGGTGTCCGTCAAGGCTGTCCACTTTCTCCATTTTTGTTTAACTTCATCATAGACCTATTGATGGAAATAACACTCTCGTCGACTGAATTCTCGGGTATTGATCTCCTTCCAGGAGGTCCACTTATCGACTTAGAATACGCAGATGATATAGTCCTGTTTGGTGAAGACGCTGACAAAATGCAGAGTCTTCTGGTAGCACTAAGCAACAATGCCAGAATGTTTGGGATGCGCTTCTCTCCCTCTAAATGCAAGTTGTTGCTTCAGGACTGGTCTGCGTCAACACCTGAACTAAGGATAGGGAGTGAAGTAGTCGAACGCGTTGACAACTTCACTTATCTTGGAAGTCTGATCAGCCCTAATGGGTTGGTGTCTGACGAAATCTCAGCACGGATTCGAAAAGCTCGTTTGGCTTTTGCCAACTTACGTCACCTTTGGCGGAGGCGAGATATCCGTCTATCAATAAAAGGACGAGTATACTGCGCGGCAGTCCGTTCTGTCTTACTTTACGGCAGCGAAACATGGCCTTTAAGAGTAGAAGACACCCGTAAGCTACAAGTATTTGACCACAGATGCCTCAGAAATATTGCTGGCATCTGCTGGGATCACCGGGTAAGTAATAGTGAGGTTAGACGTAGGGTATTAGGGAATGATGGTAAATCAGTTGATGAGGTTGTTAATCTTCATCGACTGAGATGGTTGGGCCACGTATTACGTATGCCTGAACACCGATTACCACGACGTGCAATGCTAACCGTTGTTCGGGATGGTTGGAAGAAAGTTAGGGGCGGCCAAACCAAAACGTGGCATCAGTGCTTGAAGTCACTAACTTCTAGTCTGAGCCATGTTGGTAAATGCAGACTACTTGGTTGGGGTCCGCGTGACTATCGTAACCAATGGTTGGAGACTCTTGGTGACATGGCTCAGAATCGATCACAATGGCGTAGGTGTATACACTCCCTGTCTTCTCTTAAACTAAGAGATTAAAATGACTTTATATCTTTCTTTCTACTAACTAATTCTTCCTTCCTATACCATATCCTTATTGCAACCTTTGACCTAACCACTCCTATGAATCCGGTGTTCATCTTGTTGTGCTAATGAGGTATGGCAACCTGGACCGATGCACATATGTGCCTGGTTCTACGTTGTAGCTGACTGACTGACTGAATTAACATCTCCAAACACTAATCTTCCCGATTACTGATTATACTCTTATTACCTCTACCACTACGGGATTTGAATCGACCACTGCATCTGTGTGCTAATGTGGTATGGCAACTCGAACTGA